GTCCCCAGGGCGCCAGGGCAGCCTGATCCAACGAAGAAAATGGACAAGGTGCTCCCAGATCGAAGATCCCAGGGAAACCGCCCCACAGCGAGTGAAAGGCCCTAAGCAGAGTGCGGGGCCCTGGCCCCCGCAGGGCCGCATCAGATCCCGGCCCGTCCGGAAAGCCACCTTCAGGGTGGGCGCGGCCCCTCTCACCGCCAGGGCTCTGGTTTAGAAGGTCCGGGGGACGCAGGGGGACGCAGGGGGATGCAGGGCTCAGCCCTGGCGCGGGTCAGCGTGCTTCTCTTGGCAAGAGCGACTTTAGGGTCTTAAAAACCCCAGGGCCCGACTTGGTGATGGGAAACCCGTGGGGCTTACAACTGAGGTGAAAAAAAAAAAGTACAAAATGATGTAAAAATAAACTATTATATTATGCAAAAATAAAACACCCAGGGCCTCCCCGGGGCAGAGGGGCAGCCCGGCACGACGGAGCTGCCGGCCAGCACTGCGGCCCGAGTCCGTCCCGGCCGGGGAGCGACCCCTCCGCAGTGTGCCTCGGGGCCCGGCTGTTCTGCTCCCCACTGTCCCCCGCAAACGCCCTCACCCCCCACCTCTGGTCTACACCCCAGCTCTTATATGCAAATTAATCTTAAGAAAAACCAAAAAATCACCCTCTGGCCACAAGGTAACTGCAGGTGGCCGCCGGCTGCGCCCTCCTGGCAGGGAGGGCGTCGGAGGGTCGGAGGCCGGATTGCCCGCAGAGACCCGCGGGGAGGGGAGAGGAAGGAGGGTGGCGGGCGCTGGCCCACGAAGCCGCCCCCAGAACGGGAAGGTGGCACCCGCCTGGGGCCAGAGGCCGGCGGTGGGCGGCTGGCGGAGGGGCCGCGGGCGACGGTCCCTCTTGGGGCGCTAGGCGGGGGACGGCCTCTGAGGTCGGCGTCTTCCGGAAGGAAGAAAGGACATGGAGAGCCGACGCCGCGTAGGCGGCAAAGTTGCAAGAAACCCAGAAGAGTCTAAACTAGGAGCAACGCCTGTGGTGAAAAACTTCCAGAACAGCCCCAGCGCCGGACGGCGGACGGGAAGACGCTCAGCCGCCGACCAGAGCCTCAGAGCGAGGACGGCGCCGGCTCTCGGGGAGGGCCGCCGAAGTCCACACCGCCAGCAAGGTCCCCAGCCCCCGTCCCCCAAAGGCGGGGGCAGAGGGCGCCAGCGCCCCGGCCAGACATGCCTCAGGCATGCGGATGCACATCTCAGGGTGCAGACGCAGGAGCAAGGAGAGGAAGGAAAACACGGCCCACGTCATGCCGACGTCAGAGGTCTGAGGAGCGGCGTGGGGGAGGGGCAGGGAGGGGACAGGCGGGTGCGTCACCGGGCCCAGCGCTCTGCCCCGAGGGTGGCCGGCCGGCCTGCTGTGCCTGAGGGACGAGAAGGCCACGGTCGCCCCAGCGCCGGCTCACGGGCCTGTGGGCACTCTAGGCCTTCACAGCAGGGGCGGGCTGGCACCTCGGTGGGGTGCTGAGGGCCCTGGGCCTCGGGCAGACTGCTTTGGAGGAAGGGCGAGACGCTGGGGGAGCAGGCACGGCGCCCCCAAACCTCGGGCACCTGAGGAGGCTGCATCGTGCGCTCGGCGTGGACAGCCCTCAGCAGAAGGGGCGCGCGGAGCGGGGGCGGGGCGCCAGGAAGGGCTTCCCCAGGAGATGCCAAGGTCGACCACGGGGGTGGGTTGGCAGCCTGGCACAGGGCGGGCACTAGGTGGCCCCTGAGGCCCCAGAGCCTGCCCACGCCCAGGGCACCTCCTGGGCGAGCCGGGACGGCCGAGGGGCCAAAGGGGGCGAAGAGCAACATCAGAGCCCCCCTCCTGTGGAGGCCCTGGCCATCTGCCCTGCCCGCAGGCCTGGCCACGCTGCCTCTGCCAGGCTCCCCTGCCCTCGCATCCCTGGCGCGAGTCCAGGCCCTCCGGCCGTCCTTCCTGCTCCTCTGGCTTCCCCCCGCTGCCCAGCCCCTTCCCGGACGGGGACCCGCAGCCCCTTGCCCCACGTGACTCAGGTGCTGGTGGCCGGGACGCAACTCGGAGACGGCCGCCCGGCTCCTGCCCGGCTCTGACGTCCAGCTGCCCGCCTGGGCTGGGGCCTGTGTGTCCTGGGCCCCCCACCGCCGAGGCGCGGCCCGCCGTCGGCCCCCACGCTCACTGCCTTCTGCTGGCCCGGGGCAGGCTCCCGTGCTGACCGGTGACGGCCATTTTCCTCGGCCCCGGCGCGGCCCCCGCAGCGGCCATGCGGTCCTGCCCCGGGCGGCGTTCGGGTCTGACGTGGGCGGTCGTTCCGGGCCCGCCCAGGCAGAGCCAGCAGGAAGGTGGCCGCCGGCACCTGGGGTCGTGGACACCGTGGGAGACTGCCCCTGGCCGGCGTCTGCTGCTTCGGCGAGGAGCCGCCCGCTGGGGGGCAGCTTCAGAGGAGGGCGAGGGGGCGGCTGTGCGGCCTCAGCAGGTGGGCGGGACGTGGGCGAGACCGTCCAGCCGGGGCGGCCGGGGGCACGGCGGTCGGGTGGACCCAGCACAGCTGCCCACCGTCCCCCAGGGGCAGAAGCGGCGGGAACAAGGCTGGGTCACCCTGATTCCAAATCCAGACCCAACCCGGACGGAAGGCCGCAGGGGGCGGCAGCAGTGTGCAGGGACGCCCCGGCCAGGGCGCGGCGAGGCCGCGGTGTGCCGCTGGGGCAGACCTGTGCCCGCGAGGGGGCAGGCGCCGCTCATGGCGTGGGGCTCCCCCACGGGGAGGCCCGTGTCCCCCCAGACAGACACGGACATGACACGGGGCCGAGCGTGGGCTGCGCCTGTGCGCTGAAGCCCAGAGACACCGAAGCCCAGACCCACGTCAAGGGTCTGAAGTGCCGGAGAGAGGGCACCCCGGCACCACCCGGGTCTGTGGGCGCCACCCCTCTGACCCAAAGCCAGCGAGACACGGGAAGCCACAATCCACATCACCAAGGGCGGACGCTGGCCTCAGCAGCTGCCCTGAGCTGGCCAGAACTGCCCAGGTGGGGGGCGACGGACAGGAGCCCCCCACCGCCGCCCCAAGGGGGCAGACTCCCGGCAGAGCCCTGCTGGGGCCTGCTCCTCCTCAAGCCCCCAGGAGATTCCCAGTTAAAAAAAAGTGGGGGCGCCCGGCAGCTGTGCCCTCTAGGGGTGGGCGCCAGTTCTCTTCGAGTCCGGGGGAGCAGCCAGGCGGGCTCAGGAGCTGGGGCGCGGCCAGGAAGGGCAGAGCCATCTCCTGGGCTCCCTGGGGCCCTCGGCCCGCCCATCCCTGCCCCCACCTCCCAGGGTGGCCCCTCAACTGTCCACAGTTCTGGAGGGGAGAAGTCACAGGGCAGCCCACCGCGTCAGCTGCTGCTCCCTGGGGATCTGGGGGAGGAGAGGGCTCTGGGTACCCCAGGCGGGTTCAGGCCTACACAGGAGACCCCAGGGGGCCGAGATCCTGGGGGTGGGGTGCCCCAGCCCTCCGGCAGGGCCGTCCCAGCCCCTCAGGGCCCTCGGGGCTAGGGGCAGTATCCGCAGGGAGCCTGAGGGCAGACTGTGCTGGGACTTGGGGCTCCCGCCAAGCTGCTGAGGGCGGCCCGCCCCGTTCACACTCCCCCACACTCCCCCAGCCGCTGGCAGCAGGAAAACGAAACTCAGGGCCCGGGCTCCTCCCCTGACCGCCCCAGACAGGGAAGTGGGGGCAGGGGGTGTCCTGGCGCCGGCCCCAGGGGACCCACAGGTCAGGCCGGCCTTTGCTTGCAGGTGCGCCGCATGCTGTGGACCCTGACTTCACTCGCGCCCGGCGGGCCGCTCCTCTGGCTTCCCGGGGGGCCCCCGCGACTACATCCTGTCACCTCCAGGCTGGCCCCAGCCCTCCCCCCTTGCAGCTTGGCTCGGCGGGATGTGGCACGGGACCTCTGGTGGACGCTGGCCACGTGCACCGGGACAGCCCTTTGCTTGAGCTTGCCCAACCTGGGAACCGTGACTGCGTCCCCCCTCGCCGCGCCCAGGGGTCTGCTCCCTGCACTGCGTGGCCAGCGAGGGCCGCAGCAGCCCGCCTTCCGCCGCTCGGGGGCCTCGGGGCTCCCAGGCCAGCACTCCGGAGTAGGAAGGGGGCACGGATGTTTATTTAGGCACCGAAGCAAGAGGGTACAGTGTAGGGTTGGGGTTCAGCTGGGCCGGGGAAGCAGGGGGAAGGTCTGTCCCCAGAAATGCCCCCGTGGCGAGTCAGGTCGGGTCTGGAAGCACCAGGGCGGGGGGCTCGCGCTCGGTTCAACCCAGCCACGGCGGGGCGGGCGCCCCCTCCCACGTGGCCCCGGCCCCAGCTCCGGTCCCGGGACCCTCACACCTTCCCGGGCTCCCCGAGGAAGGCGACATCACTGGGCGGGGGGCGAGAAAGCCGGGGGGCCGGGCGGGGGCTCCGGGGCCAGTCAGGGGCCCAGCCGCAGCAGCGTGGACAGCAGGCTGAGCAGGAGCCCGAGGCCCAGCACGGCCGCGCTGGCCCGCAGCCCGCCGTCGGCGGCACTGATGTTGCACAGGAAGCTCTGGCAGCAGTGGGTGCCCACGGACGCCACGCCCAGGTTCACGCTTGGCCCGGGGCAGA